CCATGGTTTGAAACAGTTTGTCATCAGATGCGTGGGAATCCTGTGGCTGAGTGTTATTCAAAATGTTGTGATGAAATTGGCATGCCTATTTCAACATTACGATCGTTGGTTGTCGAGAAATCAGCAACGGGTACCGCTCGATCGATTGTTCGTAATCTATTTTCAAAAAATGAATTAGCTTCATTGGATAGGAGTGCATTAACAGAAAAACAAAGAGAAGCCATATGGGGTTTGTATTGTAGGAAAAGATACATAAAAAATATTCGGTAATAAAAAAGTACGTTTGACCACCATTCTACCATTGACTACGTGACATTGTTTTCACTTATATTAGTATTATTTTTAGAGCAAAACAAAGATTTCTCATTAAATAGAAAAATTACTTACTTTTCTTGTAACGAAAATGTTAGAATGGCACAAATCTCAGTTTGAGTTTCTATGATAGTGCTTTTCTTGTAAAAAACAATGGATATTGTTCTATTTTTGTCTTCAATGATTGGATCAGCGAATCTTGGTAGGATTTTAATTTTTTCTATTTTTTTTCTTGCGAGAAAATAAATTGCTTTGCTAACGAAAAAAAATTGCTCTATTAACACTCACATATGTCCGCTTCTGTTCCCAAAACGTACTTTTTGATACGAAGTTTCTTTCTTAAGAATCAAAGTGATGACTATTATTTAAATTTAGATTTTGCGCGCCAAGTGAATTCTTCTGATTTGGGTGGTTTAGCGAATAAACGTTTGTTTATGGATGCAATTAATAATTGTTTTCGTGTAGCAAAACATGCACGAAATAAAAGAGTTCTCGGTGAAAGCTTTAATGAAGCAAATCTTGATGATGCAATGGGGCAGAAGAAAATAAGACAATAACTTTTGTGAGAATAATCTAAAGGCAAGAAGAGACACGATGTTTGTTTTTCTTATCCCTGTTAACGATTTCTTGTCTATCGTTTATGGATTGTCTACTTTTTTGTTTTATGAGGATTTCTATGGAAATCAACTATTTTTTACTCATATTCTGCGGCTCGAAAAGGTCATTGAAACGTAAACTTTTATTGCTAACTGACCTTTTCTACAGTTTTTTATTTGGTTCTTTTTACTGTGGTTTCTTTATGCACACAGATACAGAAAATAACTAACGAACACACTAGTTTTTCTATACTCCACATTTTATGCTCACAACTTCTTTTTTGCTTCTTATTCTTGATGCTCAATCGGCGATGATGTCAGCTAAACTTTCTGTCCTGAGCTTTGCTTCGAACTTTTGACTGTCTTTG